GGGAGAAGTCTTCGTCGGCAAGTTCATAGCTGACAACTTCCTGGAGTACCGCTTAAGGCAAGACGCGCAACTCGTGACATGAATGTGTTTCAATGTGAGCTGCGGCAACTCCTCTTCGCTGAGACCATGGGGCAAATGCCTCACAACGCGCGGAATCCACATATACAAACGGGTTCCACGCAGTGAATAACAAAGCGACATGCTGACAATGAGGCAGAAACACCATACCAGCCCTTTCCTTCTCCTTGGCCAGAACGCGCACACGGCCTCAGCAAGAAGGCTCACCAAGATGGGTCCTTTGAAGTCGACGCGTAACCAAGCATCTGCTGCAGCCCTACTGTACTACGCTTGAAGCACATCTGTTGCTATTGGCTAGAAATACCTCTGCCTGTTCGTGCGTCGCTTACTATTACTATTTTGTGTCCATGAAAACTGCAACCGGCCTTTTTAAAAGTAACCGTTTGACCTGCAGGGGAGGGGGGCGCTAAAGTCAGAGTCGGTGGTTTTCAGAGCTACTGCGCGCGCGCGCACCCTTAAAAAACGAAGCGCAACGCCGCCGGGCGAACCCGCCACCTCAAAAAAAATTCAGGCGATGTTCTGAAAATAAGTTGTGGCAACTGTGGGCTCCCTCGGTAAACAGCTACAACGCCACACTGACCGATTGTTCACGCACTGCTCTTCCACGTTCCACGTCGATGTGATATACATGTGTTTAAATGTTAAAACAGTTTACAAGTATGTAACGAAAACTCTCACACGCTCAGCGGAAAGCACGTTCTTCACCTGAAAGCTTGAACCTAAGTCATAGGCGTGTTCTGTGACAACTGGTTTGGGTAAAGTGTGACGCGCTGCCTTTTCGGCATGAGTCTCCACCTATGTGAACCTACTCGGTTTCTCCACCGTAGAAATTCAAACTCAAATAGGCAACTTAGTTTCAGCCTGGCTTATTCTACTGGCTTTCTCGACCTTTCTTGCCTTTTCCTGAACTGGTTGCTTTCGTCATTCTTCCAAACTTTATCCTTTTCTGTCCGTGGCTGCGTTCACTTGTCGCTCCTCTCCTAAAGCGCAAGATGGCTCAAATTGATCCATCCATCTGAACAAGGTGTCTCTTTAGGCCATGCTAGGCGCACCTCTCTGGACATCGATCAAACCTTTCATGAGCCAGTGTGTTCAATCTTGTGTGGGCTCACGATCTGGGTTTTCCTACCATATTTCAACTCTATGCTCCTCTGCTCTCTTTTCTTCTCTTACCAGCCTCACCCTTCAAAGGCGCGCGCGAAGTTGTCCAACCGCGCGCGACTCTGGCGGAACTTCTGTTTGGCCTTCCTGTCCAACGCGGATGGCGCGTTGCGGCCGCCACCTGATTGAAGGGCAAGCCCAAATCTTCTGCGTAAGAAATCAAGCCTCTCTGAAACCAACCTTGTCTTATACCGCTCCTTTCCTCTTTCTTGCGCCTCACTCCTTGTCCTCCTCCTCTTCTGACCTCATTTTTTTGCTCTTGCGTTCCTGATCGGAGTCTTTCGAACAAAGCCCCAAGCGTTCTGGAACTCGACTCGATCTTTCAGGTCATCTTCAACAACACACCAACTGCAAAACCCCGACCAAGACGAACAGGGTGCTCGAAACACAAGATCATTATGATATGCGCGAGGCTCAAGTCGAATAGTTTCGGCCCTCAGTCTGGGGAACGACGACCCAAGCCTTCCGTAGCCTGACCCGAGGCTATGTTTGCCAGCAGGCGTCCAAGGGTCAAGCTAGTCAATTTCTTGGCTTGCTTTACCTGATCCAAACCGTTCTTTTTTTCTTGAAAAGGCTTTGGCAGGTCGTTTGAGCTTGCGGGAGAGTGGATCCTTGCAGGGCCTTCCTAGACAGACCGATCTGTTTGGTCCGTCGCTGCTAAGGCTGGGCCCAATTTGCCAAGTGAAGGAAGGATGCCTTGTTCATGCGCGGGCAGGCGTCTTCAACTCAACATTGTAAAGTCACTGTAAAGCTTCGTGGGGTGACCGACCAACTTCGCTGACGCCTGGCTGTCGCCTCCCAAACTCATATCGCCCGGGCGCGCCAACTCCAATTCCAATCCTCCTTCTTTGGGCACTGGAATCTCCTTCTTCTGGCTGCCTTCTCAATCTCAAACTCTGTTTTTGCCCCTTCATCCTCGATCTTTGCAAATTGTTCTGGATCTGGTTCCGGAGGGGGTCCAGGGAGCTTCTCTCTTCACCTCCAATCTGATCTCTGGCGCCATCTCTGTGGTGGAAGCACCAGCCGTGGCTCCAATCTGGCCAAAGCCACAACCTTCAGTCCACCAACCCTCTATTCAGGTCGCATCGGTGGCTCTCAGTAATCACTCTATGTTTGCGCTTTTTGATACATGGCTACGCCTTACTTGCATTTTTGCGAGCATTGTTGGATCTCATTTTCGACCCCCCTTGAGCTTGTATTCTTCCAAGGGGTCAAAAAATAGAATGATTATGAACAAAGTAAAGGTTACCAAAGGTTTTAAACCAACGCTTTTTGAATGTAGATGTTCTTTTAGGGTAAAATTCTGTCCATATGGAGGTATTGTTTGTTCGAAACACGTAACAATTGAAATAATATGGACCCCTGAAAAATATTGATTTTAGGTGGCCCAGTGTATCCAATTTGTACGTTTTCAAAAACAAAACTAATTTTCTTTTTGGAGCCCGAAAAAGCTTTCTACCCTGAAAGCAATGGCAAAATAGAATGCGCATGGAAAGCAGAATCGTTTTGTACAACGAACTATACAGTTACAATCAGCTGATGCAAATGAGGCAATGGTGAAGCATGTACTATGACGTAGACTAGGCTGTTGACACGTTGAAAGGAAGCGTTTGTTTCCTTTTCATGAACCTGGTCACGCGATTGATAAGACGATGAGAAATACAGTCAAACCCACCTGACATATAAAGACTATACGTTTTCCATGTTTGCCCCAACTCCCACTCCTCTCTCAGACACACCTAATGCTCTCCCTAGCTAAAGCTATGTAGCAATGAGAGCATTGTTACAGTTTAGCACCTCAACACCTTCCGTGCGGGCGGGTTTGCGGCGACGAGATGGATATCAGCCGGATCTGTCCATCAGCCGGATCTGTCTTCCCCAACAAACGTCCAACCCCGAACCTGTCATATCCATCCGCTCCCCTCACCTTCTCCAAACGTGGCAACTTGTCAACCATATCTGCGGCCGCTCCTCATCCCGTATGCGATTGGGCCACCACTTGCCCCCTGTAGCGCCTCAACAACCAACCTGCACATCGAAGAAGATAGTTGAAGATGCTTTGATGTTGATCTGGCATCCTTCCTCACCAAAGTCCTTGTTAGACCTCGCGCCATCTGGATCTCCCTTTCAACTGGACCATTGCTTTGTGAATCGCGTAGGTTCCAAGGCTTGTGAAACCCTACCGGGAGTGGTGCCTGCTGAGCCACCTCCAGCAACAGTCGCGTTGTCTCCCTTCAAAATCACTCTGGAATACCCCAAGCTGCAACTGTTCGGCCGAGAACTTGAGATGTGCAGGACCGTGTCCAGGAGTGGGATGACCAGCGCCGTCTGAGGCGAAAAACGTTGCGTTCACCTTAGTCGATCGGGCGATGGTGTGGGACGTGCTCTGGCCAAAAGACTTCTACCCGCGAGTCTCCCGGGAGTTCACAGACAAGGGCAAAAGCGCCTCCGCCAGAAGACACGACGTCTCTTTGAGCGGCGTGGGGATCATGAGAATGATGTCCACGGCGTGTGAAAGATGGCTATCGAAGCTTGTCTCTGAAGCAAAGGCTCTTTGGCCGCAACTAATGTGTGGAATCCATCATGATGGGTATCCGCACCGCATACGAACGAACCGTCCTGCTCCATGGCGCCCGCCCCAGTAGTATTTAGAGAACATGGACACTGGACACTGATTCACTCCATTCGAGTCGGCACTGTCTGCGAACGAAAGGTGTCTGTCGCAGGAGTTGCACTTTCCTCAGGATGTGAGGGGGAGTGCAGGAGAACAGTGTCGATCTGGCCAGGATCGGAAAGGTCCTCTTGCATGGTGCCGTGGCCCTGAAGGTTGCCCTCGCGGCACAGAGTGAGGGAAACCAACGCGGGAAGTACCATCACCCTCGGATCAGAACCCAAGAGCTCCGCTACCAACTGTAAACAAAACTCTGTAGGGTCTCTATACTCTATTCGCTTGACCAGTCTTGTGTGCATCCAGTGAATCACACTTTACACTTTCAACCTCGCATGAGATTAATGGCGCCTAACAGGGACAAAGGATTGTGGAGCTCGGGGAGTGCAAATTCGCCAGGTTCGAATCTCAGACATGAACTTGCTCTCCTGCATGTCCACAAGGCAACGGCACCTCATGACAAGCTCACCAAGCGCGTCAAAGTCTGTGAATGGAGATCGTGAATATTGGTGGACCAAAATCACAATGGCTTTTCCTCCGCGTTCTGTATATGATCCTGCAAAAGAGACTCACAAACTACCAGCTGGGTGAAACATGGTAAAGTGGCTGACTTCGAGCTGCGCGCCCGAGGAAATTCTCGGGCCTTTCAAAGCATTGAGTCCATTAAGTGCTGAATAAGCCATTGACAAATTATTGGGCCAGGCCAAGGAGTCAAAGGCGTCAATAGACAACATTTGAATCTGTGTATGTGTTGGTTTTGGATGAACAGCTTGACGACTTGATTCTCTTGAAACAAACCGTGTTCCTCAGCCCCATGAAGATTAAGTGACGACTTTGTTAGTTCCTGCCGCATGGCTCTTCAAATTTAAACCCTGATGCCTCTCAGGCTCCTTGTCAAAGCTTTGGAGAGTCTCACTCTCATGCTACTGATTCAAATCATACACGCAGGCCACAGGCGTTGCATTTGCAGGCCAGACTTTCAAGTTCAAAACCTCTCCCTGGGATACCTATATAAAGATCCATTGTTCATAAAAAAATATCGAGTCTGGACCGCGAGAAATTCACTCCAATCCAACACAAAAGACTTGAACATGACAAACAAACTGGTTATGGTGATCGACAAAATGTTAAAAACTAATATTACTAATGATGTGTTCTTTTTCAAAAAAACAAGGTCGCTGTGTGCGTTTGAATGCGCAGGACAAGCAGCTTGAGTGAGGCGTCGTGCAGTGTTGCACCATGCTCACTTTTGCTTCTCCATGGCCAGCCCCGCACCTGCCACAGCTCTCTGCCATGAGCCTATGGAAAAATATCAGTTTCAGCTTTCACACTACCTGCATGCCACAGGTCCGAGCAGCCTCAACTCAGGCTGGTTTTCAGGCGAGCATTGATCATCGCTTGAAGATCATCTTTCGATGCTGCCCCCACTTGTGCTTTCACGGCATCACGTTCCTTGGCAGTTGAACAAAAGCAGTTTCTGCATCAATTTAGCAACACGCACTGACATTGTATGCAAAATGCTGGCAGACTTCCGCCTTTCGATTTGCAGCATCAATTTGAGCCTGACAAGCGTTGATCCAATCTTTAGCTCAATCCACGTCATTCACGTAAATTGAAATATGTGTTTAAGAGCTCGTAAAAAAAATGTTTAGCCGCTCTAATCTACGTTTCCATCATTGGATGCCACAGCGAAACAGTGGCCTGGCGCAACCTGGCCTTGACCACGATTGCACGAGCCTCTTTCGCCTCGTTTTCAGTCACTTTTGGGCGAATTCTGTCACCGTCATCACCTCCATAGTACAAGTCCTTAGTCGAGCCACACTAAGTTGCACAAATGAGTGCCACTTGAGCGCCGCATGAATGAGGCTCCAAATCTTGCAAATTTTGCATGTCAGGGGAATAAGAGCATGACGGACTTCCCACCACCTTTGCCACCTCCTGAAGTCTCATCTCTAAATTTGCAAAAAAATCAACGACGACAACTCCATCTCTACACGGTGGTAGCACCACAGGCAGAATAACAAACTTGGACGAAAATTGACTTTGTCGTCCGAAAAAATGTGTGCATTCCATGGAAAAAATTGACCAGCGAAATGAAACAGTTTCAAGTCCACTATCCGTGGGCCCGTGGGGACTGCTTGTGATCGTGATTTGTGTTCCTTGAGTTTGTGCTAACCTATGCGTGAAACTGGTGAGACTGAAGCAGAATGACAAGAACAGAGCCAAAACAAACAAACCCGAAGAAAGTTTCAAGGGCAAAATGAGTCTCCGAACATGACGTGTCCACGGTGGCGGTGCTCGCTTCGTCAGGAAGCAAACCCATTGGCTCAGCAGGGAAGAGTTCCCGTGGTCGAGAGGCACTGGTCGTTGCCGGCCCATGTATTTTTGTATGTATGTATGTACGTATTTTTTTGCACGGTCTTTTCCAGTGCAATGAGGTGCTAGGCGAGGAATTGCCTGATGTCTTGTGACTTCTGGCATGAGCATGGTTTTGCTAACCGGCTGCTAATGACGACTTCATCGTCCACGATGCGGCCCTTGGCGAAGCACCGGCTGCACTCGGCCGTCATGCCGCTCCGGATCATCACATGCGAGTGATGTCCTTTCCACATGGCCTGAGGAAGCGGCCCGCTGAAGCAAGTCTCGCCGACGAAGGCTTCAAACGAGGCCTCATTGGTCCTGGCCAGGATGTAGCTCCGGCACTGAGTGCATCTCAGGTAGGCCTTCTCCAACTTCAAGAAGTGCACACCAGCTTGTGGCTTGCTCTGAGCTGCTATGAGCTCGCGGATGATTTCCATCCGAGGCGTTTTTGCCGGCTTGGGGATGGGCATGGCCGTGCACTGTTTGTCAGTGGCTGCCTTGAGCTCTTGCAACATGTTCTTGATGTGGACTTTGAGCTTGCACTGCACGCATTGGGCTCCGCTGCGGTGGGGTTGCCAGCTGTGCCCTTGATGTTCCGGGCGCTGGAGCCAGAAGGAGATCATATCATATCCTTCTTTTGTTGGGCGAGCGGGACCTTGGGGGAGTTTCGGCAACCTCAGTCTTCTTCTTGAGGAAGTGAGTGGGTTCCCTCAGAAGCATGTCCATCCGCTCAGCTGCAACCATCAAGACATCTCCAACATCTTCATCAATGGCCTTCTGATAGGCGAGGAAGTCGGAGGGACATTCCTCCTTGGCTCGCGCCTGCGCGAGCTTGAGGATGGTTCATGGGAAGGGCCAGTCACCAGGCGGTCGTCAAAGGAACAGCCAGCTTGAGCCGAAACTTGAGCCAAAATGGCTTGAGCCATATGTATGTATGTACGTATGTATGTATGTATGTACGTACGTACGTATGTACGCACGCGTGTGTATGTATGTCTGTCTGTCTGCCTGTCCCTGTCTCTGTCTCTGTCGTCTGTGCGTCTGTCTGCGTCTGTCTGTGTCTGTCTGCGTCTGTCTGCGTCTGTCTGCGTCTGTCTGTGTCTGTCTGTGTCTGTCTGTGTCTGTCTGTGTCTGTCTGTGTCTGCCTGTGTCTGCCTGTGTCTGCCTGTGTCTGTCTGTGTCTGTCTGTGTCTGTCTGTGTCTGTCTGTGTCTGTCTG